TTTTATAGTATCTTCTTGAATAGGGTGATCAGGGGTTGTACATACTTATAATTTTAAGTTTTCTGCTTTTTTGGAGTGTAATTACTATGGATACCTCTTCTTATCCATTTGAATTATTTTGGCTGTACAATGTGGAGTTGTAGCATCTCGTAACATATAATGCAGTTCTGCTGATCGTGCGGTCACACCTGAATAAATTATAGTTTACGAAATTGCATCTATTATATTTATTAAGTTGTGTTTCATTTATAGCTAGAATGTCTAAATCATGCATATAGATAAAATGTTTAGTTTCATCTAGTTTATTCTTTAAGCTTCCAGATGCAATCCAGAATGCAATTTTTAGAGGACTGAATTTATTTTTATTATTTTGATCCATTTTTAATTCTTAATGCTTCTTGTTAATTTCTGTCTGAACCCGCAAGGGAACCAGCAATATCTTTAGCTATGATAATTAGGGCGGCTACTTCTTCCTCATCCTCTTTAATTTTTTTCTTCAGCTGCGGAGATAGAACTGGTAGTCTGCTCCTTGAGTACCGCGGTGGCATACGCTTTATTTTCGAAAACTGTCTTCCATGCCAGGGCTTGTTTTTTGTTGTTTTTATTTTTGTTATTTAAAGTAGCCAGGTATGCTGGGCATTGCCTACAGCCTGCGACGTGATTTCCCTGACAATTTACACATTTTGGAGTGTTTTCTTTAGTTTTATTACTGTCTCTAGTAAGGTGCTGTTCTTCACATTTAACACACTTTGGGTCATGCCTACACCCGTTTTGAGAATGTCTGATAAGTTGACAGCGATGACACAGCTTGGGCCCCTGGCCTCTTCCTCTGTATTTTTCAATTTTTACTTCACAATTTAGTTGAAAATCTATTTGCCAAATATCTTTACCTCATTTACAATTTTTAAGTATAACTAATTAATGTGCTACGTTTATTCTGTCTCCATTAACTCTTATCTTTAATTGAACTACGTTCTCTGGAGAGACATCATATTCATTTCTTAATGCTAAATTAACTTCTTTGGGGCCAATGTCTTTCGGAAGTAAAAAATATGGCCATTCTTATTTATACTGGTAGTAAAAAGCGTATTAAATCAAATATATTTAAAATAGGAATTAAGTATACATGAAAAAATAACCACATTAAATACATGCATGCCGATACTGTTGAATAATTTAAAAGAGAGAATATATTTACTCCTTCCGAAAACTAGATAAGACTGAAGTGGGTTAAGACTACTAGCTTATCTTCTTTTCCGTCTCGCTTTCACCCATGATCACATATGAATAGATCTCCGTAATATTTCTTGCAAATGGATCAGTAACGATAACTGCCTACCACTTCTTTAATAAGACGTTACGACCATTGGTTGTTGGAAAAATATTTCATTAATTCTGTATTTATTTTTCAGATATGAAGCAAATCTACATACCTAAAAGGCATATTATTATTCTGCTGGGATGTTTCGGAATGTTGAATGTGTATGCCATGAGAATCAACCTCAGCGTTGCAATAGTGGCCATGACAAATCATACATCTATTAACCCTCTAAACAACTCTAACAGTCAAGTTTCGGAATGTTCAAACCTCCTACAAAATCAAACAACACACGAAGTCATGAATTATAAAGTAAGAGTTTATTTCAAAGAGTTTATTTTTAAGGCCAACGATTCCTACAAATGAAAACCTGCACACGGTTTCTTATAGGTAGTCTGATCAGACCACTATGAAGGTAAATCAGTTTATAAAAGAACTCTTCAATAAAGAATCTAGCAAAAATAAGAAATTGGTAGCAAATATATATCTAAAATTTTTTTTAACTTATGAATATGATTGCTTTCTCGTATTTATTTGTCTACCACTACAGATTCAAAACTCAAATGTATATCATAAATTTCTCTCAATATTAATAATTTTCCTTCATGAAAAAACGGCACTTTTCTCAAATTGTCTGCGCGGACTCCTTATAAAAAATCGTGTAGAGGCCTTCTGATGTAGGAGGTAATGGCTCTGCACTCGCCATCTTGGATTTTAGGTTAAATTTTTTTTGGCCTATCAAACGTTTGAAGATATAATATTATTAGACAACATAATGCCACATTAAAAAAAAGTAAAAAATAAAGGGATCCCCTTATTTCATTAAGAGAAGTGGAGCTTGATAATTTTTCAGAATTTATATGAAATTTTTCTCTAAACTTTAAATCAATAAATAACGCAATTTAAAACTATTACAGTTGACTCGCGTTATAACGACCCCATCGGGACTGCCCCAATCTGGTCGTTACATCAAATGGTCGCTATATCAAAATGAGCAAATTTCCTTTGAAAGTCGGTCACATAATGGTTTTAAACGTCATAATGCATGCATATACTATTTGTGGTATACATGTTATAAACCAAAAAAGGANTTAGCAACATCTATATTTTCATTGTTGTGTCCATTGGCTGTCAGTTGGGGAACAGCGGCTTTCATTTGTCTTCGAGTACTACAAGGATTAGCTGATGTAAGTATTTAGTATAGAGTAAAATATTTTTAAATATGGAATCTAGAACTGCCATATTTCTACTCCTCTTGTGGCAATTTACTCTAGTGATAACTGTGTCAATGTGGCAGCTGTGTTTTAATGTATATCTTACTCATTTTTTCCAGCACAAAGAATAAATTATTTAAATGCTCATATGCAGCGCCACTTTGTTCCAACTCTATCAATATCTAGGAGTCACTATCACCTCTAATTTAAGTTGGAAACGACACATAAATAACATTATTAAAAAAGCGAATGGTACAAAGATGCCAACTTGCTCCGAACAGCGAATATATTTTTTAAAGTGGTAGTTAATCAATTGTGATTCTTGGTTCAAGAAATTTAGTTTAGTACATTTTCATTCACCGATATTTCTAAATAATTCGTAGGCTTATAGAATTCACCCCCTTATAGTACTTGTGACATGCTATACCTTTTAAAAAGCAAGGAAGAATAGTCCAATATTTGCAAAATTTACTTTGAAGGTATTTACCATTTTTTTAATCTTTTAGGCCTGTCCGGAGCAGTTGGCATCTCTGATGGTGCCTATTGGGCCCTCAACTCCATATTAAACTCGAAGTCATCTTTAGACTTAAAATGCAAGCGCACTGTCTATTATGCAATTAGGCCAATCCTAACCTATGCCTGCCCCACCATTAACACTCTAAGTGATCATTTAAAAAATAAACTCTCTATGGCAGAAGGGAAGATTATTAGAAGACTCGTCGGTGCACCTAAATGCATTAGCAATAATAGTATAAAAAGGGATCTTAAAATTGATGACATCAACGTCTATATAAAAAATTTAAATAAGAATTTCTACGATGAAGCAAAAACCTGTACCACCAGCAATTTTAACTCACTCCTAGATATAGAACTAATTGACGACAACGCTAAATTTAGCCCAATCACTGCCTTTTTCCTTAGGGATATGGTGTTGCCCTAGCACACGAAATACACTCAGCACCAGCCGACTCACATGAACCCCCTCTCGAGTTTTTGGTGCTAACCACCCCCTCTTCCTCCCATCCCAATTCCTCCTCACTACCCCTCTTCATCGATTTATTACTACAGATGAATCGGTTAATGGCGCTTCGCGGCAGCTCATCGAGATTTATGTGATTTCTACCATTCTACCATCCAACTTTATCATGGTAAAGCTTCTAAATTGTTAACAAATTACCAAAAAAAGTCAGTCAACTACTAAGCTTTTTGCAAAAGCTTTTATGGAGTTAAGCAATTAAAAGCCAAAACTTTCAACGTGTTGCCTCACCAAGAAAGAGTTTAAACAAAGTGGCATTGTAAAAGAGTTTTTAAATCATTTATATGTAGCGGTGTGGAAAATAAGTTCAAATGAATAGAAACCACTAGATTAACCTGTTGGTAGAATGGTAGAAATCACATAAATCTCGGTGCACTGCCACGAAGCGGGATTGACCGATTCATCTGTAGTAATAAATCGATGATGAGGAGTAGTGGAGATGGGAGGAAGAGGGGGTGCTCAGCACCAAAAAATCGAGAGGGGGTTCGTGTAACATGGACAATCAAGAAATATTGAGTGGCATGGAGTATAATTAATTGACAATATAATCATAAACAATATAAAATAAGATAATCATGAAGATTATGATGATCGATATTATTAACCATTTCGCGCCGACTGTCACATATACGCGCCAGCATAAAACCGTATCAACCAGGGTAAAAAGATAAAACTGGTAATCAAAGTAATTCGTTAGCAGTTTATTTGTAGGCGGAGTTATAATTGTTTGATTTATTTAACTCACCATTACTTTGTTCAAAATTAAAGTATTTAGTTATACTTCGAACTAACATTGATTATATATATGATTGAATTAACAATAATTCAAGTAAAAGCAAAGTAAGTCTGTCAAATTAGCAACACCTACATTTAAGTTACCGTTTTTTATTTAATTACATCATGTTCTGATTTTGTACGAATGCTTTTCTGAATCACTCGTCCCCAAGGGGTTAAGGAAGGTCTGTGTTAAATATAAAATATGTACTATATTTACAACGCACGAAAATCAACCCAAGTTGAATAAAAGATAAAATAAGAAAAAAATAGGTATATACAATAGGAAAATAATCAATGAGAGAAAATTATGTCGTAAGCTCTGTTGCAGTGGTGACCCAGGCGTCCTGGTTAAATAGCTACTCGTCTTCTGGATTGCTCACCACACTAGTCTTAATCGTACTACATATTCCTCGTGGACGACCCCTTGGGGTTGCTCGCCCTCCTCGGTCCATGTATATGTTATGTAATACTGGGTGTGTGAAGTGCAATTTTGATAGAAAAACTAAAGTTCGGCTGGGGCTGATTTCGTGTGCTAGGACAGTTTCACCTGTTTGTGCCCAGCGTCATATTTGTAGAACAGTTTCTTTTTTCAAAAACGTATCTTGTGTGAGGACAACTGTTTCAATTTTCTCTTTTATCTAGCAAAATTTCTGCTAGTGTTAAATAAGTTTTTTTAATATATATATTGTGTTAATGCATAAATCAATATTATGATATTTTTATAAAAGGCATTTTGGAATAGACTAGTGATAAATGACATAATTTAGATGAGTGAGTCCGACTGACAATTTCGTTAATGACATTTTTCAATTTACAAAATTGATTGTCGCCTAAACTTAAACTAAAATCAGTCTGTTTCAAATCTTTTTGAACATTAACTGGATTGAAATCTTGTTGGATTTAACGCTCATTTTTCATTTTTAAAAAAAAGCAATTTAATAAAATTTTAAAAGCAGTTTTCTTAAAAAACTAATTACAGTATTCCATATTGAAAACAAAAAGATATTACAAAAGCAGTATGTGATATCTTTTACGCAACTATGCAACTACTTTATATTCTTGTTATTTTACGTAAGTATACAAGTATACATAATAAGAAAACATCGGTATACTACCAAGGTATATTACAAAGTTTTATTACTCAATGATTGAAAAAAAAGTCAAAATTGTATCTTGTTACTTAAGATCAAAAGATGACAATTAATTTAAATCTTTTCAAATATTTTCAAAGTTTAGGATAGAAGTAAATGTATAGTTTTATGTTACAGGAGCTCAATGCAGTTATGCTAAGTCAAATTCAAGGTAAAAATTGATAACAAAGAAATTTCATAATTTAATAGTAAGAAATTTCATAATCCTACTATTAAATTATCAAAAGCAAAAGATTCAGAAATAAAGTGTCTGACACATAAACAAATGGGAAAAAAGTAACCCACAAACATAAAAAGCAAAATAATAATAATAATAGATAATAAATAAATAAATGAAAAAGAAAGAAAAAGAAACGTAAGGTCATGGTGGAATCGAGAGAAAGTGTGCAATTTCATGTTATGAGTTTCAAGTTTTGTATCAACATAGGACTAATACTTTTTTTGTGAAACAACACTTGTTCTTTTAAACTTCTCTGTGTCCATCTTTGGATTCTATAATTTTTATTGGGTCAGCATTTTTTAATAGTTTTATTTCAAATTTTCATGAGTTTTTTAATAATTGTATCCATGAAAACCTCCTTCAGCACGATGTATCCAGAATAATAATAAATATTTAGTATATTATTTTAAATATACTAAGTAATCAATATATTATTTTAAAACTAGTAAGTTTTAATATACTAATATTTTGATAGGAAAACAGGCACAACTTGTTCTGTTTTCATAATTTCGAACGGTGTCGTCCTGTACAATGTCAGAAATTTTTCGGAAAAAAAATGGTTTAAATAACAACTTATTTAATTGCTATTTACCATATTCAAACAAAACGGTCAAATAACAGTAAATAATATAGTATTCAAACCGTTACCAGCGGGAAAAACCGTCCATTAACTGCTTTTTTCTAATGCGGTAAAAATAACCAGAATTTTTTCGCACCAACTAGGCCCACCTAATAAAACTACTTAGATCCTTGCAGCTTTGTACTTATTATAGCCGAGAGGGCTAATCTGTCAATCTCATGACCGACAGAACGGGGGTTCGAATCCCAGCGTTGATACCACAATGTTTCCTCCATTCCCTACAACACATGAAGAGATTAGCGAATTACCTAAGGGAAAGTCTAGCTCCAAAGTCCAATTAAATTTCTTTTTCAACGGTTTTGAAGAAAAAAAAAGTGATGGTTGTAAGCGGTGGAAAAACCATATAGTTTTTTATTCATGCGTTTTTAACCATTTTAGTTCTAAACGGTTTCTAAAGCTTATGGATAAAAAATGTTATTTACGTAAATTTTAAGGTTAATTAAATAGACAGACTGTTGCTGGTTATTTCACCATAATTTCAGAATGAAAATTCTAAACTTACAAGCACTTAAAACATGACACGATCATTTAACGAGCGTACGAGTGTATAAGCACTTAGCATTTAAAAAGCGTACGAGTGTACGAGCACTTAAAACATGATACGAGCATTAACGAGCGTATGAATGTACGAGCACTTAAAATATGACACGAGCACTTAAAGAGCGTATGAATGAATGAACACTTTGAAATGACAATCTTCAATCAATTGTAGTT